CGGGGGGGGATGTGCAGCGGGCTGGGAGGGAAGCAGCTGCAGGCTGCAGTGTGGGGTTGTGTGTGCAGGTGTGCCGGGACGCGGGCTGGATGCACGGGACAGGGGCAGACACTGCCGTGCAAAGCCTTTCTAAAGCAGCTGACTCTCTCCAGTCTCCCATCCATCCATTCCTCAAACCTGCTCCCAAGGACGAGGAAAGGAGGGAGCAACCAGGCAGTACCAAACCGTCCTAAGCACAGCTGGTGTCACGTCTGCTCAGGAGGGGTCTCCTGCTGCAATATCTTGCCCCACTCACTCACAGTGCCTAAAAATGTTGCTTGCAAAGTTGTGACAGTTGCATTTCCAGGGTGATTTTCACTAGTGGAGAATCATGATCATTATGAACAACTGTTCTTTTTCCCCTGATGATCATGTTTTGACTGTGTTATAAAACCCAGCTGTTGCTGGCGTGCTGTGTCAGAGCCCATGGCTCTGCCTGACTAGCGCAGCCTGCAGCCAGCTCTCCTCTCCCCACTGGTCGGGAGGATCGGGCTCGCGTCTCTAGTGACTGGGTAGGGGATGGGGGCTTCGCAGGTCCCCCGGCTTTGGCTGATACGGGGGCCAGGGCTGTGAGAAGCCCACCTAGCTGTCAGTCTGACAACAAATAAGGAATACCTAGTAAGCAGGGAAGGCTTTAGGGACTAGAGAAGATGTCCACCCGTCTGTCTTGTCTAGGTTTTCATACCATACCAGTCACCACAATGTCTTACTGTTGTAATTCCTGGAGGGAGAAACCGTAGGATGAGTAAACAACTCAAAGAGGCCCCGGGAAAGGGGATGCGAGGATTGGCACAGCAAAACTGGAGGAGAGGAGCCACTTGCCGAGTCCTCCGGTGCAAGCTGGGAATCATCCACTCGTGCGAATGATCCTCCTGCTGCAGGGAGGCATGGCGGGGTGACCGGCGGGATCAGCGTGGGGGCAAGCGAGAGGCACCGGCTGGCCCTGCGTCCTCTGGGGGGACACAACCCCACCAAAAGTGATGGCATGTGTCCCACCTCTGCTGTGGGTTGGAAACCTGCTGGGAAGGGAGCAGGAGCCCCCAGGGTGGGCTGGGTGGAGGGCTCTGGTGAGTGGGGCACCAGTGACAGGATGGCCAGGGACAGTGTTCACCATCCCAGCCGTGGGTAGCTGGGTGGTGACAGCCCGGCAGGACAGGACACAAACCCTAGGGGCTCCCTGGACCCCGTCCATCCCTAGACCAGAGGCAGCAAGGAGCTGCCCTCAGTGTAGGTTGGGGGAATCCTCACACCCACGGGGCAGGATTTGGTCTGCGTGGGGCAGGGCCGGGGAAGGACTCTCCTGGGAATGCCAGTGTGGCTGAGCAAAAGCACAGCGCTGGGTGCTAATAGCCTCCAGCTTGGCTTTGAGTCCGTGCATCCTGCCGGGGCTGATTAGAGCAGCTGGGCTTGTCCACTTCCCTGTTTTATTGCTTCCTCTCCGAAGGGGGAAGGTGGCGGGCTTAGATAATTACAGGCAGGATGCCAACACCTCTGGGGCTTCAGTCAGGGATGTCGACTCTCACAGGCTGTGAGTGGGAGGCAGCCCAGAGCTGGCGTATTTAACATCTTTGAGGGATCCCAGTCCATCCAGCACATTCCAGCGTTCCACACTAATGGGGCAGGATCCATCAGGCTGCGTGGAGCGGTCCTCGGTCTGCCGGGTTTGCAGACATCTGGTCACGGGAGCTCGTCACCCGGCCTGGAGAAGTGGGATTACAGGAGAGAGGACGGGTGTTGCACAGTGCCAGAGGTTGCTCACGCTGGGAGAGGGCAGCTCTGGCCGTCCAAGCCCTCCCATCCCACCTGGCATCTCACAGGTGTCTGCACTGCTGGCTGGAGCTTTAGGGATGGGCCAGCATGCTCAGACCTGCATGTGTCACCTGTGCCAGGGACCCCTGGGACATCGAAGCAGCCCCTGCTCAGCCATGGGGCTGACTCTGCCTGTGGCCAGGGACATCCACTGCTTTTTTCTTGGGTGCCCACCATTCCTCCAAGTGGCTCCAGTATGTGCCCCAGTGCTCCCACACTGCAGAGCCATCGGGGTTCAGGTGCTCCCTGTGGCTGGCGGCCACCTTGCGTGGGGACATGGAAAGCTGAGGTGAAGTGGCAGGACAGCCTGCAGGACGAAGTGTGTGGGGAGACCATGGGGAAAGAGCAGGGTCTGGATTTGGGAGCATGAGAGCACGTTTGGGAGGACGTGTTAGGAGCGGCTCCGGAAGATGGGTAGTGGACATGTGGCAGCAGCAGGAGAGAGTGAGGACCAGTTTCCCACCACGCAGACATGGTGAAGACACCTAGTGACCGTGCCAGGGCCGGGCAGGCACCCACTGACTGCTCAGCAGCGGCGTTACTGAAGGTCTCAGTAAGACTTCCTGGAGTGTAGCACAGGAGATGTCTGCCTTGTTTAAATCACAGGTTCATGGGAGTCACTTTGGTTGCTTTTGTGTCCCACGCAGGTAGTGAACACGTACACGCCGGGGAAGAAGATCTGGCTGGAAGGTGTTGGTGCGACCTCAGCCGGAGGCATGAACAACCTCTCCGATTCCTATGCGGCCGGGTTCCTGTGAGTTACGCCGGCTCGCCAGCGCCAGGGCACTACCACCCCCATGGGCTCTGCGGGCTCAGGTGCTGCAAAGCCGCTGCAGCCAGGAGAGGGCTAGCTCTGTGCCCAGAGACCCCACGTGTACTCCCCCTCAGTACTCCCCCAGCAGCCTGGGCACCATTATTTTCTCCATAGCATCCCTATTACCCCTCCTCAGCTCTGCTTTCCTGTAGGTGACCCAGCCTCTGGCATACCCAGAGAAGCAGAGTAAGGAGGGGACTGCTCGAGATCCCACACAGGTACCCACAGTGTGCCCGTGGGGCATGGGTGTGGAAGGGGAGGTGAGATCCGGGCATGCCAGCTCCAGGACCCAGGGCTGGCACCCTGACAGGCTTGCCTTGCTCAGCAGCTCGGGATCGCCCGGGCCTCCTCCTGCTCTGCATTTTTGATTCAGGCTGCAGCCATGTGTCCTTGCATGCATTCACTCCCGGGGCACCTGCCCAGGGAAGCGCTCGGCAGGACTCTGCTCTGGAAACCATTTTCTCTCCTTCTTCCTGGGGCTTGTCTACTGGCACAGCCCTGTGGCACGGGCATCCTGCTGCAAAGCCCCAGTTCAGATCTTCAGAGCTGGCCGTGATCACGAAAGATGGAGGAAGATTATCCAGGTTCTGGGGGGAGGCGCAGGCATGTGCCCAGGGGATTGGGGCTGTGGCAGGCTGCAAGGGTTTAAGACTTTGCCCAGGGGGTGTGAGGAGACAGGCTGGTGCAATGGTCTGGTCCCCCCTGCTGAGGCTGCAGGTGCAGGGTGCTGGCAGGCTCAGGGGGCACCCCAGGCTTTGGGCGCAGGGCTGCAACGCTGGGGTGCACGCAGGGGCTCAGGCGTGGTGTCGGGACATGCAAGCTGAGCACAGCTGGGGCAGAGGTGGCTGTGGTGGGGGAAGAGGCATGCAGGCTTGCCGGAGCAGGGATGGTGGGAGCTGGTTAATACCCAGCTCGCAAAACCATCTGAAGGCTTTGGCTCAGGTACAGGGACCAGGCGTGAGGTTGGGTGCACGAGAGCGATGCCGTACGCCGGAGCGCAGATGTGCTGCCGGGGCCGGGGTTGCCCTGCGACAGCCTGACTCTGCTCCCTCCATCCCCAGGTGGCTGAACACACTGGGTTTGGCCAGCCAGGGCATCGATGTGGGGGTGCGGCACTCCTTCCTCGACCACGGCCACAACCACCTGGTGGACCAGAACTTCAACCCCTTGCCGGTAGGTCTGCCCGGGGGCATCGCGCTGGTGCTGGCTTCTCCCCGCTCATTTGAGGAGAGGTTTCTCTCCTTGTGGCCTGTCCGAACTCTGCTTGAAAATGAATTTTTCCAGATCTGTTTCTTGCAGTATTAATAGATGTTAGTTCATGTCAAACTCAACATGTTGGAGGCAGATGGGAAAGCATTACCTCTGTAGCTGAAGCTTCATCTAGTGCCCAGGGTCACGAGCACGGGAGGGAGGCTGATGCCACCGAGGGGTGCCAGCACGGACTGTGGAGTTAGAGAGAGGGAGGTATGGGACAGGACCGCGCATGGCACAGGGCAGGCAGCCGGATCGGTAGTGGTGAGCTGTCCCAGGGGAAGCCAGGCTGGACCCTCAGCACCCGACTTCAGATCTCTAGAAACTGAAGTTTACCCTGCCTTGTAAGTGGAGAGCCATGCAGAGCAGCTGGGTGCTCTGCATCTCCCCTGGAAGGGATTTATGGGTCCATGACCCGGCAGACACTGCTAGCAGGCCAGGGATCCGCTTTGGAGTGGTGCACAACCCTGCCACTGCAAACCTGCCTTTGACGCTGCGCTGGGATCTCGGGGGACGGCTGCGGGGAGGCAGAGGCTGAGGGAGCTGCATCTTGGTCGGCTTTACCTACTCAGCAGGTGAAAACAGCATCCCCAAGGGTCAGGGGAGGATGCGGGAGGTGTCTGCAACACGAGGTCTGTGCTAAGCCCCCCAGCATGGCCTGGTGGGTGGCTCTGGTGCTCTCAAACTAGTGAGTGGGAGAGCACAGTCCCCTGTCTGTGCTGCTCTGGGTATCTCCTGGAGCGCCCTGGGCTGCTCCTGCACACACCCCTCTGGCAAGCATACCTGCCAGCTCTGGGGCCCTGGGCTGGGGGGAGCCTGGGGGGCTTTGAACTTTGTTTGAGACGAATCCGAGCCTGGGGCAAGCGCTTGATGGATTTCTTCTGAAGAGCCAATTCCCCTGGCCAAGCCACATCCCCCCCCTCCCCAGGGCCTCGGCCCCCCCACCGGGTTGCTCCTGGCTGGACGGGTGCAGGCCAGCTCTTCCGGCACAGCAGGGACAGAGGGTGGCCCACGGCCAGCTCTCCTGGCACAGCGGGGACAGCGGCTTCAGCGGCTGGAGCAGGCGTGCAATTAGGAGCCGGATTAAAGCCAGGGAAGAAGTTTGAGGACTAAACCCCGGGCTGTTAAACACAATGGAGGTCTTTAAAATGGATTTTGCTGTTGTTTTAAAGATAACTCTCCAAATAAGTTAGACGCCACCCCCCTCATGGCTGTTTCCTTGCTGTCCCACGTGTTTCAGTGTTTATCTATTTTCCACATCCCACCAATGTGTTCCTGCACAAACTCCAGTGGGTGCTTCCCCAACCCTGTTCCCTCCACTCCTGTGCTTTAAAAGAACCACAGGCAGGTGCAAACCGACAGAGGGTTTAAAAGCTGCAAACACCAAAAAGCCCAGCAAGACCGGACCGTGACCTGCTCCACGAGGCAGCTCTTTTCCCGTGGGAGCTATCAGGGAGATGAAAGCCGCTGGCCATACCTGCACGGGGCCATGGCACTGTGAAATACAATCTGCTCATTAGCTGCCACGACAAAGAGGTTTCCGCACGTGGGCTGGGCGTGAGACAGCTGCCTGCTGATAGAAGGGCCGCACCGCCGCAGCATCAATTGCGGCTCCGGCTGGCAGCTCCTCAGGGATCCGAGAGCCAGGGCTGAGCTCCCCGTAGCAGCCTTTGCACCTCCTCCTCCTCCCCTGCCACTGCTGATCCCTGCTTGTCAGATAAGAGGACGGGGAGCTTCATGGTCCAAGGAGAGTTTCCTGCGTGGTCCAGGGATGGTACAGCAATGCAAATACAGCCCTCCATCCTTGTGTAAAGAGCTTCCCGTATAAAACCAAGTGATTTGTAGTCTATCGCCATACGAGCACTGCGCTGCTGCAATGGGAGCCCTCCTCCCTCTCCTTCAGCTGGGCCCCTTGAATGCTGCTGGTCTTGCTCATGTTAGTACTGTCTCTGTTAGGGCACGTTACAGCGAATGGCATAAGGAAGCTCATAAAATGTGGTGTGGGTGCCACATTTGGGGATTGGGGAATGCAGATAACGGGGGTCGCTTGGTGGGCACCGCTGTGGGAGTCTCAGCTTCTAAATCACCACATTTCTTTCTGTCTCTCCCCCGGGACTGCAGGATAACAAATCTGGGGGGATTTGTTATGTATGGAGGAAGGAGCAGGCAAATCACTGCACCGCTCTATGTACAGCAGGATGCTAGCTGCTGTTGTGGGCCATGCTGTGAGCTAGCGAGGGGTACTGGTGCATCGGGCAGGCAGAGAGCACGGCCGCTCTCTGGGTGTGGGTGCTGGGTGGCAAACCTAGGCAGCCTGGTGGGGTTTGCTCTGCGTTTTCTGAGGGTTAGCCTAGGCTTGAAAACAAACTTTTAAACTCTGGCCGTTTCGGTGGGAAATGCAAGAGCACCTGGGAACAGCTGCTTGCAGGCAGGGATGCAGCGAAACCTTGAAAGCGGAGGTTTAAGCTGGTCCATCCCTGGCTTTGCGCCATGGTGGCTTGTCAGTGCAATGCAGCCTGGCTCCTCAAAAATGGTCTCAGGCGGCAGTGGCATGGCCAAGGGGCACTGCAGGTTCATGGAGAAATTAGGGAGATGCTCACATCTCTGCTGGGCTTTCCGCACACAGCTGTCTCATGAGCTAAGCAGCATCTTGTGGCTTCTGGGACATCTTGCAAGGGGCATTTGTGTCTCCATTCAGGTCCTTCACCCGTGAGAGAGCAGCTCTGGGTGCCTGTCCTGGTTGCCAGAATTGCCCGTCCACCCTCTCCTGGGAGGTGATGCCATCAATGTCCCGTGCAAGGGACGGGTGCTGCAGAGAGAGAGGCGAGGCTGTCTCTCTGAGCCTCCTTACAGGTGCAGATCCAAGGAAACAAGTTTCTCTTGCTGGACTAATGGGGACCAAAACAGGAGATACTGGGTGACACGAGGTTCCCTGGCCTGGGCATGGGGGCGATCAGGCTGGGGAATAGAAATGCTCCTGCCGACCTTAATGCAACTAATCTCAAGTGTTTTAATGCCTTGTTATTTTTGAGATAACTTTTCCATGTATCATTGGAGTGCTTTTTCTTTCTGAGTGATTGGGGCAGCCAGCTGTATAATAATCAGGGCTTGTGCTTGAGAAGCCCTTCAAATAAAGCCTCTTGCAGGTACGTCAGTCTGCCTGCCTGCATCTCAACTCATCTGTACATGTGTGTGGGAGTGAGGAGTGGAGGAAAGGAGTGCAGGAGCAGCACTGATATTCACCCTTCACAGGGCAGTGCCTTTGAAATGCCACTCTGGCATTTAGTCACCTTAGGCTCATTTCAGGCATGCAGTGTTCATACTCCATCTCTCTTTCCTTAATATCGCTCTGAAACAGTCCAGAGGGATGCAATACACTTATTTCATTGGAGAGTCCCCCCCGGTACGTGTGAGCTTTCTCTTCAGATTGTTAGAGCGTGTTAAAGACCATTCTGCATGCTCTCCCACATGGCATCGCCTCTTTTTTATCCATCCTTGGTAGTGATTTCTGCTCCCTTAATGCACAGTGCTGTAAGGTTATACCTAAGCATGGAAAAACTTGGGCATATTTCTAGGCAGGCCCAGAGCAGCACAAACCCCATGGAAAAGCCAAAGCTGAAATCCAGACTTCCATCTCCTGATAACTGTGGCTCCTCTTGGACCTTCTCCTAAAGACTGTAGATGGTGAGATACTTGGTTCTCCTGGGTTAAGTAGATGCTAAAACTTCCCTTCTGCGTTTAAGTTTCATACGCAGCATGAGAAAGGCCCAGAGGGATCACAGGGTGAAGCGACGGCAGGGGCTGCCTGCTCAGCTGTGGTAGTAGAAGACAGTATGATATTGCCTGTGAATTGATGGCGTCCTTGAGAAAGCATCGCAGCAGTGCGGAGGTCTGTGCCTGACGGTGCCGTGGTTGGATGCTTGGATGCTGCAGGTGATTTTTCACCTCCTTTGCTTAGCCCAAAGGCACTGAGGAACTCGATGGGAAAGTCACTGTCTGTCCTGGAGGCGGGGGGTCCCTGGGCTCGTGTCGGGTCTGTCCTTAGTGATCTGTCCCCTTCCTACCTGGGCTTTCATAAAAGCCCTGGTGTGAACGACTTCGGTTCCAGGCTGCGGCCATCCCCAGCATCCCTTGGGATCCCTAGGGCAGAGCCGTGGTGTGAGCTGTGCCCTTGGGCTGCACCTGGCAATTCGGTACTGACGGTGCCTGCCCCACCCGTCCCGAGCACCTCCCCAGCAGGCTTGGGCCCCCCAATCTCTGGGTGCAGAGAGGCACAGGGCCCACGGGTGAGGTGCCGCACCGGGTGCCAGGGGCGGGAGCGGGTCCCCCAGCCGTGCTCCCGCCTGCCACACGTACGCGCTCCCCGGTGCGCTCATTAGCTGAGCTGGCTTGGCCGGAGGCACTGATAATTGCAGCTGGAGGACCCAGCCGTCTCTCCGGACGGTGCCTCTCCCGCCCCTGCACTGCGCGGGAGGGGGCCCTCCCCAGGCCGGGGCTGCAGGGGTCAGGTCCTCGCCCACCTGCGCCCATCCCCACCCTGCTGTCCGCTCGCCCAGCGGCTGCCGGGCTGGGCAGGGTCCAGAGGCGAAGAGGAGACCTGGCATCCGTAAGGGGAAACGTACGGAGAGCCCTTTCCCGCAAGCGCTCATGCTCCCACCGCCAATCCCGGCCAGCTGGCTGCGGGGCCGGGGGAATTCAGCCCCGCTGCTGCGCCGGCCCATCTGCACGCCCAGCACTGAGTCACCGCGCTGCACACACGCAGCTGGCCGAGCTGCCAGGGGTAGGACTGCGGCTGCTGTTCCCCCCGTCAGGGACCCTCGGCTTTGGGGTCGCTGTCAGGGAGAGGGCGGCCAGGTCGGGCTGCAGTGTGCCATGCGCTGCGCAGGCAGAGGCAGAGACACAGTCCCAAGCCTGGGAGCGAC